TCTTATAGGAAGTACAGTACGTAGAGCTTTGATATACTGTATTTTCAGCTGCATTAATCATATCTGTGAACTCCTTTCCTACCTGACTGACTGACTGAGTGAAAGTGAGTGAAGAGGCAAGGTTGTGAGGGAGCAGGGTTATGAGGGAGCAAGGTTGTGATGAAGTAGGGTTGTGTGAGCTGTGAGGGAGCAGGTTGTAAGAGAACGGTGGTTGTGGGGGAGTAGAATGAGCTGAGTTATATGTGTTACCTGTGTTACACCCGTCAGAACACCCAGTGACCTACAACTTTAAAGGGGGACCGCTTCAGTAGCTGGTGTACCTAGGGCGTGGTGCACCTGTTATTTTATCCAGGTCCTTATAAATCCACCTCCCTGTTATTTTAAGTCATCCTACAGGAACCTTATATTTAAAGGACGCTGAATCCTTAAATCAATCACGAAAAGAATAAAATGATTGTGTTTAAAGGAATTCAACTCCTTAAATCACGCATAAAATATATTAAAAGGAATCTGACTCCTTAAGTAATACATAAAAGAAAATGAACACTATATTTATTGTAAAGGAATTGAGTCCTTAAATCCCACAAAAAAATTCCTTGGTGGATAGGTTCATTATGAGGCCTCAAGTAGGAACACGGAATTCTATATCGACAGTTTTAATTCATCACGCCACTTATAGGTTAGTGAAGTGAGTTACGTATGAAGCACTCTTGTAGATGTGGTTCTCATGAGTGATTGCCACGTGTCTTATGTTGCTCTACTCGATAACACTAATTATTATATTATTCACTACAACATAAACATTGAAAATAATAGGGTTTATTTAGATGCCTTTATATAAGACTGTAGCTTTGTACTTAACTGAAAAAACGTATCAACAGTCACTTCCCGGTCACTTGCCATCGCTAGAACACATACCAACAGTCACTTACCGGTCACTTTCTATCAATCACTAGAGTACCAACATATAGAGTACCGCATCAAAGGCTTATGAGAAAAGTTAAGGCTCAGGGTAAAATCATGGCTCACCGATAGAACACAGAGGGTCAGCGTAGATTGTTTTAAATCCGAGTGGGGCTGTGTAACTAGTGGGGTTCCCCAGGAGTCAGTACTGGGCCCACCCATATTCATATTCTACATAAACGATCTTGATACTGGGATCAGCAGTGACATAAACAAGTTTGCGGATGGCACCAAACAGGGCGGCAGATTAATTCGGGGCAGGGTGCAAATGCACTACAGGAGGATTAAATAGACTGCAGGAGTGGTCAGAAAAATAGCAAATGATATTCAACACCAGCAAGAGCAGCATACTTAAAATTGGAAGAACAAATACTGTCAATGTATACAGCCTTAACAACATCAACCTAGGGAAGTCGACTTGTGAGAGAGACTTAGGGGTACTTGTAAGCCCGGACCTACGGCCTAGAAAACAGTGCGTTAATGTTCAAAATAAGGCAAACAGAGTATTAGGTTTTTATATCTAGAAGTGTAAGTAATAAGAGTGAGGAGGTCATATTACAATTATATCTTGCGCTAGTCAGGCCGCACCTCGATTATGCTATTCAGTTCTGGTGCCCTTATTATTGAATGAATATCAATTCACTGGAGTCGGTGCAGCGAAAAATGACGAAAATGATTCCGGGACTTAGAAACCTTCCATATCAAGATAGATTAAAGAAACTAAACTTGCATTCCCGAGAAAGACGAAGAGTGCGGGGAGAAATGATAGACGTTTTTAAGTGGGTGAAAGGAATCAATAAAGGAGATATAGAGAAAGTTCTTGTAATATCCGAGCAGGATAGGACTCGTAGCAACGGATTTTAGTTGGATAAGTTTAGGTTTAGGAGGGAGATAGGAAGAAACTGGTTCACAAATAGGGTTGTAGATGAGTGGAACAAGCTTAGCAACTTTAATTAGTGCTGGGACGCTGGAAAGTTTTAAAAGGAGGCTGGATAGATTCATGGACGGTAGAGAGTGGGAGTAACTCTCGACAGGAACTGCCATGCACAGGCCAACCAGCCTATTGTAGACTCCTTATTTTCTTATGTTCTTATGTACAGTCACTTCCCAGTCACTTACCATCACTACAACACATACCAACAGTCACTTCCCAGTCAATTAACATCACTACAACACATACCAACAGTCACTTACCATCACTACAACACATACCAACAGTCACTTACCATCACTCGAACACATACCAACTGTCACTTCCCGGTCACTTACTATCGCTGGGCATGGTAACAGGTTCTTAAGACTACACTACACTACACTACACTACACTACACTACACTACACTACACTACACACACTACACTACACATACACACACTACACTATACTACACACACACACACACTACACTACTACTACACTACACATACACACACACTGCACTACACTATACATACACACACTACACTATAATGGCAGCCCCTCGAAATCGAGGATGGCCGGCCCGAGGGCCACCTCGGAGTAAATTTGCTTAAGGTGTAGAAGCTGTCGCCAACACAACAACCACACCCTGCGTTAACGAGCTGCATGGCCCAGTGTCAAGGAATAGCCCGAGAAGACCGGACAACTCACCAACTGCACTGGCTAACCATTACCCCGGATTACGATCCGCTTATCGATTAACATCCAGCCCAATTACTGCTGGGTAGACAGAAGCAAATGGCGTAGAGAAACTTGCCGAAATTTTCAAGTGACGTACTGGTACAAACAGTTGATGATCAAATAGAGTAGTGAAGGAGGCGGGACAAACGAGGAACCACTTAAAGTTAGAATTTTAAATACTCTTTCGTAAGTTGAGCAATGACAGGACATTTACCGCTTTCAGCGAGAGAAGATCTCTTTGTTCTACAGCGTTGGGTCGAAGTGCGTAGTTTGGGAGCGTGCAAAGCGAGGGACTTAGGTGCGTATTTACAATAGGCTATATAGTTATGTTATGGAGGGTACTAAGGTGTTTAACGTGTGAAGGAGAATACAAATGAAATAAGTTATTCACACTAAGAAGTATGCAAACTTATTAATTATTTACGTTAAGAGACTACAAGGTATTGATTACATACATTAAGGCAAAGTAAACATCACCCGCTGCAGCCACCAGATTATACAGTATGCAAATGTGGTGCCGCGGAATATAACAGTTAATCGGCTCCTGTTTCCATTCACCAGCCCTGTGTGCAACCCTCCCCCTGAATCCTAAGTCTCAACGATATCAAATATAAAAAAATCTGAGCTGTGTATAAAGGGCATGTTTAGTGCTATAGAGCGTTCGGTCTGTTTCGACGCCAATTTTTGTGTTGGGTAGCCTAAGTGGAGTTGATTATCGGAGTGTGGCAAGAAAGGTAACTGAAGCGTGGGAACTTTACTCCTGACACGTGTTTCTACCTCACAGGAAGACTGCTATACTACAGTCACTTATTTATTAGTTAGATTTATTAATACATCTTTAGTGTTAAAAAATATTAACGGGTTTATTTCTGATAATTCACTACTGACTCCAAATTGCCTCTCAACTATTACTTCTCAGTTCCATAGGATCGTCCCATTAGGGGCAGTGTAGACAGAACTCACTGAAGTCTAAGCCATCGGTACAATAGGAGGCACTACACTCGACCACCTTCACTTCCCGAATTGTAAAGGTAGGATCTCATTCACAGCCGTGTAAAGATGTACGAACCAGCGCCTATTAGGACAAGAGATGAGCATTGTATACACTCGGCCACCGCATCATTATTTAAAACAGATCAAATGCAGTTATCATAGTTATGTAATGTTTGTTGTTTGTTTACTTTGCTTTATCTTATACACTTAGAGGGATTGTATGTCTGCTGTGCTGGCAAGATCATATGAGGAGGATGTAATAATCCCTGGAGCATTATAGCTGAAGTTAGCGTCCTTAAGTCCTATAGATTAAGTCATCAAGTAAATAATGCTGGTAACATTAGGCTTAAGGTTTGAATTTTTATGTTAGGGTAAATCACCGCGTGTTGTACAGTCACCCACAAAAGTCCTCTCGTCACTCCTCCTGAACCACGTACCCCGAGATTCAGACTCGTGAATCAGAAACATTATGGACAGAAAAGTGCCCCAGAGTCTACCGCTTCAGGATCACGAGTTTGAACCTCTGGGTACGTGGATCAGGTGGAGACATGAGAGGACTTTTGTGGGTGACTGTACTGTACATTGTGTAATTTTTTTTTATATTGGAAAACTAAAGAGGCAGAATTTATGTAAATTTAGTAATGTAGTGAAATAGACACTATAACATGGAGGTGTTGTTGACATATATGATAATTATTGATACTTGGGAATGTTGCCGTTAACACTAGATGATAATTAAAGACTTCAGGGAAATTTGTTATGAGAATGAATGCTAATTAAATACATAAGGGGATATTGAGGTTAATGATAGATGTTAATTAGTGATTTTGATAATATTTATGTTAATGCTTGATGTTAAATGTTATTAAAGGAAGTAGTGGTGGTTAATACTAGATGTTAAATTCGTCTGTAAGTGAATTTTACAGTTGTTATTAAAAGTCTCCTCCCTGTGTGTCAGATCCTTCACCAGGTGTCTCAGTAGAGGGTCGTGGTCGCCAACTCTCAGATGGTACGGTGATTGACTGACCGACTGTTCTCTTCTTTGTTGACTCACCCTAGAGGTCATTACCGGCAACAGTCATAGAGGTTGCTCTTCTCTCGTAATGGGCCCCAGTTTAACTTAATTTAACCAATAGGATTGACACAAAATAGGACAGGGCCCAATTCATAATAGTTAAGTTAGGTTGGGGCCTATTAGGTCGGGCACATCAGTCCTAATAGTTACTGGTCAGATTAGGTGATGTTAGGACTGGGACTCATTTATTAGCTCTTTTCCTCGTGCTATTTAAAGAGGCAGTATTAACATCATTATGTGTGTACATTACATTTACCAAAGACACAGTAGTAGCCACACCAACTAACTCCTCACTCTTTATCTTTTCCAGGAATCAGGTGGATTTGAGTGTGGTGGAGCATGTGGCGAAGCAGTGTGGCGAGGCAGTGACGGATAGTGGGTGGCAGTGAAAAGAAGTGGGTGGCAGTGAAAGGTAGTGGGCGACAGTGAAGGGTAGTGGGCAACAGTGAAGTGCAGTGGGCGGTGATAGTTCAGGGTGGGCCAGTGAGGCGGGGGTGATGGACAGAGGGTAACGTGCCTAAACTCTTCAGCGACAAACATGGACCAGCGCGCCCCACCGCTCCCCTGACCCCTATTTTGAGAGTGCCTCATCTCCACACACCCGACTCTTCTAAGGTAAGTACTTACCAGCGAGATATACTATCCTCTCTTTTATAGGATGGTGAGTAAAATATGATTTGTTTATAATACAGGAACTCTGCAGGTACCCACAAGACATTTCAGGAACACAGTAGCTCGTGTACGCAGTCTCTCTCTGTCCCCTCCAACAGAGAACTGTATTAAACACCTCCCTGCTCGTACCGTGAACCCGGGTACATATTTTACCTTATAAACAATATTTCACCACCAACCCCTCATGTACAATAACTCATCATCTTCTCACCAAATTTAAATACACATCCGCTCTTGAATTACGAAGTCGTACCACAAATAACTTTATATCCTGGACTAATTTTCACAGGCGATTATGTTTTCAATATTTATTTAGGTTGTCGCTCTGTCCCTGTTTACTAGTGCCGTGGGTAAGGTCGCAGCATCATTCATTTGTGCCTTAAGGGATATCATATTAATTTATGTGTACAAAAGACATTCATTATTAAGAAAAAAATATTTACATCAATAAGGAAAGTAGAATTTGTTTATACGTCTGCTTTCGAGGCAGTTGTAAATTCTATCTCCATTGAATTGTGAACGTGGTTGACTTTGTCTCTTGTTTCTGTCGTCAGCTATCGAGGACACTACTGTAATACTGACTGACTTTATACCTCGTCCTCGTTCATATATGTGACCTGTACCTCGTCCTCGTTCATATATGTGACCTATACCTCGTCCTCGTTCATATATGTGACCTATACCTCGTCCTCGTTCACATTCAGCACAGACGACAAACACAGGTAAACCATGACGTCATCGTAGGTAGTTTGAGCTGAGATATTTGTTTTATTTGTAAAGCTTATGATCTTCACACATGTTAACGGCCTTGGTCCATAAGAGGGTCCTGAGCTGTGTGTATAAATACTAATACTACTACTAATAATTAATGGTTTATTGAAAAAGTTCTGCTTTCCGAAGGCTGAAAATATACATTGGACAAAAATGACTTATTACATACAAAGACATAGGGTGGGTGGGCTGGTCTGGTCATGGAGACATCAGGTGGTGTGGTGTTCACGTGGTGCAGTAACTCGTCTTCGGGTGTTGATATGAAGGACTTCACGTGGTCATGGGGACACCGGGTGGTGTGGTGTTCACGTGGTGCAGTAATTCGTTGATATGAAGGACTTCGGGTGGTGTGGTGTTCACGTGGTGCAGTGTCTTCGGGTGTTGATATGAAGGACTTCACGTGGTCATGGGGACACCGGGTGGTGTGGTGTTCACGTGGTGCAGTAATTCGTCTTCGGGTGTTGATATGAAGGACTTCACGTGGTCATGGGGACACCGGGTGGTGTGGTGTTCACGTGGTGCAGTAATTCGTCTTCGGGTGTTGATATGAAGGACTTCATGTGGTCATGGGGACACTGGGTGGTGTGGGGTGGTGTCACAGTACCCCACCCTGCTAGGTGGTGGTGTGTTATTTCGTAGCCAGGTGTGAAGCCGACCCACTGTTGTTCCCAGGGTGGACTAATTAGCACCTCCTTGTCAGAAGATGGCGGGCGGTCAGTTCCCAGGGGTGCTTATCTCACTGGTGGGTCACGGCTCTCACTGGTACTGTCTAGTGCTGAATTCACTGTTCAACACTGGTCTCACTTCTTTCCGAAACGAAATTGTCACTTTTGATTATATTGATATCCCGTGGTGAGGACGGGTCGGGGAGAGGGACTTGGGGAATGGGCCGAACATTGACCAAGGGAGGCAGCTGCTCAGCAGGAGCAGCGCCTGAATAGGTCTTGACCCTACAGTGGTCAGGGATGTGTGTGTGTGTGTGTGTGTGTGTGTGTGTGTGTGTGTGTGTCTACGATCAGGGTTTTTAAAGGCGCTCAGGGCATGGATTAGATGTTACTTAAGAAAGACGTTCCTTAATCTTGAAGACAAAAGGGTTGACGGTCCGGATCAGAGGTAGGGTCAGAGGTAGTGTCAGGCAGGGTCAGAGGCAAGGTCAGGGGCAAGGTCAGAGATAGGGTCAGAGACAGGGTCAGAGGTAGGGTCAGGCAGGGTCAGTAGCAGTGTCAGTGGCAGGGTCAGATGTTACTACTAGACAGGAGTTTGTGTGCTCTGGTGACCATCTTTCTGTAAGTTAAATATCTTGTCCAATAACACGTAAAATAATGATGATGTTGGTACAGTAATTATATAATACTCCATCTCAGTTTACAATATAAACACAATAACAACGAGTTTCAAACAATAACACCAAACCCCATCAACATCGCAACACTCAATAATACAAACAAAACACGTGAACGTATCAGCAAACAAGACCTATTTTTACTGGAAACAGGTGAATCATTATCTGTGTAAAACGTGGCACTCTCAAATAACTAAGACGTGGCACCAACGTATATATAATATGTCGCATCCCAACAGCAGAGGATAAACTAATTACAACTAATTTCACGTATGTAGGTGTGTGTGTGTGTGTGTGTGTGTGTGTTGGCGACGTGTGAGCCACCTACCGGATACATTCCTCACCAAGTCATGAGCAAATTCCAGCCGCTCCTCATCATACGCGCACCCTTCCCTGCTCCTCTTCCGCATCCTCATTATAAAGGTGCTTTCTCATTGTAAAGGTAGCTCTATAGGATGTGCTGCCATTGTAATGGCGTTCTACACGGTGTGATGTTTCATTGTAAAGGCGTTCTGTATGATATGCTGTGTCATTGTAAAGGTATTTACAATATGTGGTGGGTTTTATCCAGCTTAAGTATGTGTGGTTCACTGTTCAACACTGCCAGGCCTGTATGTAAAATAGACAGTGAGTGACCAGCACCATTATACTGGCACTCACACCTGGTTATGGCGTGTCACTCTGAGAACAAGGTTGTCACTCACGTTAGGTAAATCCCTCGCTGCTGCACCACAACCCCGCTATAACCCTGGAGAATTATTACACAAATGACTCATTATCCAATTCGTTTGGCATCTTCTTGTTATATATTGGTCTACCAAGTTTGGTTAAGATACACTGTTGTTTGTTTAAGTAAGCGTCTTTACACTTGCAGGAGTCAAGGAAGGGCGTGAGAATCCCTAAGCGGCTGTACAGAACAGCGTCCTGTCTTGATTCGAGTCAAGACAATGCCAAGATCTGTCTCAGTCGTAACATGTAAAGGGGGAGGGGGGGGGGGTGGTGAGAGAAGTTTCCCTGTAGATATAGTCACTTGACCGTCGGCTGGACACTGTCGAGAAATTATTGATGATGTCGAGTGTTAAACGCCTGGCAAACACGTGTGTTGTTACGTGAGACACACTTCCTTATGGGCATTTTTAAGTGCTTGGCAGATTTTTCCCCAGAGACCAAAGTGAAAATGTTGAACTGTCGTATACCTGCTGGCGTGAATTAACACCTCACTCAAGGGAACTCGTGTTTGTTGGGCAAGAAAACTGTTGTCAACTCTCACTTTGTGCGCAATTTAACTCTAATTCGAGTTTGTGCTATTTAAAGAACACTTCATGTGAAAGCAAAATGAATTGTGGCGTCGTTCAGTGCGCCGGAAGGCTGGAAATATACAGTTACATAATTGGGGAATGGGTCTCTTAATTGACAAATAATATACAAGTAACATTTGTGATACAAATATGAATTTCAACATAGTGACTGCAAAAAGGGTAAGAATGGCTGGGAGTGAATACACTGGTTGATTACGTGTTGTTGATAATTTTTACAATGGTTGGGACTGGGCTGTTCTTATAGCGATCAGTACGTGCTCGTATGGGCTGGATAAGGTTGTGGTGTCGAACAGCACTTCGAGGACAAGGAATCTCGGGTGGAAATAGGAGCCGGTGTCGAGGATGGTGCAGAAGCTACTCACCAAATTTGCAGATGAGGTCGTGGTGATGATCAAAGAGAGCCGAGAGGGTCAGTGTGTTGAGCGCTTTTTGATATGTGGAGTAGGAAGGGGAGAGAATAATCTTGCATGCCCTCTTTTACACGTTTTCTAGGTGCTCAGGCAGGGGAGGCATAGGTGAGCTTGGGAAGTATGATTGTGAATAAACACTGAGGAGCTCGGGCGCGGGAACTCCGAAGAACTTGAGTCGGCGGAGGTGGTGGAGACGAAAACTGGAGGATTTTACAACTTTACTGACGTGCGTTATCCAATTTACGAGTAGTTTGGTATCTATAGTGACGCTGAGGAGTTTAGTGGAGTCAACAACCTGGAGTGTGTTGGGGCCCAGAATAATGGAGGGAGGTGTGAAAAGATCGGAGGAAAGTGCATAACCATGGTTTTGGTACGGTTGATGGTGACGTGGTTGTTGGTGGCCCAATTTTGGAAACTGTTCAATATATCCTGGTGGGCGGTGTAGTCGGGAGCTGAGTTGTTGACACTGATCCCAATGGTAGAGTCGTCGACATATTTACAGCGAGCAGAGGTTTCTCTTAAAGCATTATTGGTGCGCACAAGGAAGCAGAGCGGTACCATCTCGGTGCCTTGGGGGACACCACAGGTGAGTGACCGAAAAGTGGAGACAGCCCCTTGGAAGTGTAAGGCTTGGGGTAAGTCACTAAGGAAGTATGTACGTCAAATGGCAATGTGGTGTAATGGTCAGCATGCTCGCCTCGCAAGTGAGCGGATCTGGGTTCGATTCCCGGGCAGGGTGAAACTGTGGGCAAGTTTCTATACGCCATTCGCCTCTGTCTATCCAGCAATAATTGGGAACCTGGATGTTAATCGATTTGCGGGGGACTGGCTGTGTCAAGCCGGGGGAGCGTCTGGCATACAGTTGCGAAATCGTTGTCTGATTGCTCAGCTACGACACCATTAGTGAGATGGCTTAAGAAGGGGAGGGGGCTGTGTCTTATTGTTTAGTCCACATAATCCTTTAAGCTTACCATACCATTGACTGATGTTGGTCTGCTTCAGGTGTTGCAAATGGTTGGGTAGTGAGACTATTTTGTAGCGCGTATTTCACGGATGACTTGGTCGGGAAGGGACCTGTAGCAGTTGTGGTCATTGAGATAA